GCAATATTAGTTTTATATAAGTTTTGTCATCTCTAGGGTTATACTTTCTCCTCTGTGATTTAGAAGTTCGTTGGTTATTCCGTCTGGTCCTGGCCACTTTCTATTTTTGAGTGAGTTTATCTCTACTTCCTGAAAACTGATTTCTATTTCGTGTCTTAATTCAGGTACGTTATTGTGTTGATTATTATTTTCCTTTCTTTTAAACAGTTAAGTTAGGTATCTTTCCCATTCGCTTGATGGTATGTTATTATATTCCTTCAATTCTGCCATTTCTTTCCGTTGATTTCTTATGAATCTCCATATTTGTTTTTGTGTACCGTAGAATTTGCTTTTCATCCTTTTTGTAAACTGTTGTCAGTGTTAATTTTTTGTTCTTCTTACCAACTGCTATATTTGATTTCGTATTCTTCTACAGGTGTCTCGGGATTCTAAAGTATTTGATGTTTTGTACTTCGTGTAGGCCTCTCGTTTCTCTCTTTACATATCTCTTTTATTTCTTTTCTGAAACATGATGTATTGTTGTTGTTTCTTTTGTTCAGTATGACTTTGCGTTTTCCTAGAGCTTCTGTTGCTACTTCTTCAATGTTGTCCGAAACTTTAACACTATAAATGTTTTTTATTAACATATTTTTTTGTTGACCGTTCACGCGTGAATTGAAAGACAAAACAATTATTCAGTGACGTCAGAAAATTATTAATTGTTTGATGACCGCTGAGAAAGAAAAGCAAATTAAAGTATTCGGCAGGTACTTGTGGAGGAATATCGCTGTTAACTGCTGTTGACTACAAAAGGTGGATTTATTCCACCTTTTAGAATTTATGAATTCCCAGAATGGGCGAAATATGACAAATTCCCTTGCAATTTATAACCACACTGATTCTAACGTTTGAAACGCAGTATAGTGCACTCATTTCATAGGGCATCATCCGATTTATAGATCGGTTAAATGATAATTATTCATTTTCTATTTTTTTTTAATTCCCGTATTGCCAGATTCCAGTAAGAGCCTTTAACCACCGTTCCAGAGAGGTGGTCTTGTCACTCAATGAACAACTAAAATAAAAATCTAAAAATTTATAACTTATTACCATAAATCACAAAATATTTCAGACGTTAGGCCATAAACTAATAAATAATATTAATCGTAAATTTCAGATCCCTGGCTTAATTTCCTCCTCTGTCCTCCTGCTCCTTTTTCTTCATCACCTCAGAAATCAGACAGTGTACTTCCCTCCATTCTTTCTTTCCTCTTAACATTATGTTTACAATGTTTCTTTCATGCAGCCCGAAACCCATTCGCCTCTCGAAATCTCCCCTCTCATTTGCCCATCTCTGGCAGTTAAAAATGTGGGTTGGAGCGCCTGGTACTCCACAAACAGTACAGTCTGCCGGGCAGATTTGCCTATTCTATTTGTGAAGGTGCCAAAACTACCATGTCCGATCCGAAACTGCGCCAGGAAGTAGTCTAGTTTCCTGAACTTACATTCCCACCACGGCCTCAGATCGGGAATAAGCTTTTTCGTCCACCTTGCCTTACCTTTATCATTCCCCCATTCTCTCTACCACTCTAGAATCGTTCTTTCTCTCTTATTCTCATCTATATTTGAATCCATCCTCCTCGCATACACCCTCACTCGCTCCTTGCACAACAAAAACGGTCCGTATCACGGCTCCAATGATATATAGAGCATTTGAAACTGTCCTATATGCTCTAGATACCCTGAGGAGCATTTGCCTTTGCGAAGTATCCATCAGCTTAGCGTATTTCACAGTGTTTAGTACGCTACACCATACGGGGGCAGCGTAGGTTGCCACCGACTGGAAAACTCCATTTAGCACTTTTCTTTTGGTGCTACCTGGGCCTCCAATGTTTGGCATCAGCCGTATCAACGCCTCCAGATTTCGGTTCGCCTTCTCTACCGTCTTTTGGATGTGTACTCCGAACTTTAGTCTTCCGACAACCAGACTCACAGATATTTAATCGATTTAACCGGCGCAACCTCCACATCTTCCACTATAAAGCGAAGAGAGGATTTTTCCCGGCTTCCTTTAATTAAAAACACCTTAGAAAGTTCTAATTAGTTCTCTGAAAACATTTTAAACGCATTTTCAAATTATTCTCTTATATTTATTATTTGGGTTGTAATAAATGACTTAAAGTGGATTACAATCGTAATAAACATATAAGTATAAACATATAAACATATAAACATATAAACATATAAGTATTTAATAATAACAAATAAGTATTTAGAATTTAAAACATTATTTTATTCTATCTATACAGCCCTTAACATCCATCCTTGGATATAGTCCTCCTCCTCCTTCTTCCATGCCTCTCTGTCTTGGGCAATTTGCATCCATTTTGACCCGGCGTGTTTCTTCAGGTCATCTGACCATCGCATTTGTGGCCTTCCCCTTTTACGTTTGTGATTCCATGGTCTCCAATGTATAATTGTTTTAGTCCAACTTTCATCTTTCTGCCTTAGGGTGTGTCCGGCGAACTTCCATTTAAGCTTTGCTACTTGGGTTGAGACATCTTTCACTTTTGTTTTATTACGGATCCATTCGTTTCTTTTTTTGTCTGATAGTTTAATGTTCAGCATTTGTCTTTCCATGGATCTTTCTGTCTTTGCTATTTTTTCCATATTTTCCTTTGTAAACGTCCATGTCTGAGAGCCATATGTGAGGACAGGGAGTATACATTGATTGAAGACTCTCGTTTTTAAGTATTGGGGGTATTTTGAATTCTTTAGAATATAAGACAGTTTTCCGAATGATGCCCAGGCCAATCTTATTCTTCTCTTTATTTCTTCGGTCTGATTTTCTTTATTTAATTTAGTGATTTGGCCTAGATATATATACTCTTTTACTTGTTCTATTTTTGTTTGTGCCACTGTAATTATAAGTTCTTCTGGTTGATTAGTCATGGTTTTTTGTTTTACTATAATTCATCTTGAGTCCAATTTTTATCGATTCTCTATCTAGTTCTTCCATCATTCTTTGTAATTCTTCACTTTTTTCTGTTATTAATACAATATCATTTATTAATGTAGCCAAAAAAATATTTGGTGCCTACCTAGAATTCTTACAAAATCTGTTCGATTTGACATTTCAAGATGTAAAATTTATTACAAAACATAATAAACTAACAATCAATTTATCACGTTATGTGCATTTTTCGGATCTTTAATATAAGCAAATCAGCAATTAAAATATGATAATTGAATATTTTTTAAAATAAGGAAGCATCATTAATAAAACGTGTTCTAATTAATAAAGATATTATAAACGAAGAAAATTTAAGAGAAAAAAAACTTGATTTATACCCCATTATTTTTTTATAAAACGTGTTTCAAGATGAGACTGTGTTGTAATTTGTGATTAAGATAATTTGTTAACAAAAAGGAATTTTGTATAGTTAACACAAAACCTGGTCATTATGACTAATAACAAATTTTTGATCTTTTCATAATTTTTGTTGAATTCGTGAAATATATGAGGAGGACACAATATATCTTAAGACACTACAGTTTAGGTTCAAGCTTATTAAAACACTGTCGAGTCATTTACATCACACGTACGATGAAAAATGATCGTATGAACGTCGTGCTGTCTGATTTGTCAAGGAATTAATTCACAGCTGACTTCCGTTTCGCCAATTCGTTTGTTCCTTGAGAGCTGTTTGTTACTGTTTTGTTATTCTAAAATTTTTTCCTGGGGTCTTAAGCAAGGTTTTCCACGTTGGGAGCGTTGTTTCCTTAGTTTAGACTCGCTTGGTCCATGGTTCGCCGTAAAGGACCTTATTTTATTTATTAAAAAAGAAGAGCTACTAAAATGTTTTCATCATCACTCAGACGTTTGAGTCCACTGCTGGACAAAGGCCTCCCTCATTTTTGTCCATTGTGATCTTGAGCACTTGAATCCAATTTCTTGACATTTTCTTGAGATCGTCTGTCCAACGAGTCCAGCGAGTAGGGGGTCTTCTAGGGGGTGTAAAATGTTTTAAACCGATATTATTTTGATTTTATTATTAGTAAACGACTAATTTGATTTGCACCGCATACAATTAGTAGATCAATTTAGATTAATGAATTTCTTGTCAAGGTATAATGCTATAATGTTCCTTATGACTTCTGTTTTCAGTATAGGGTGGTTACGTGTCTTTCAAAACACTTTGTTAACCTTTAGGTATCGGACGGGCCTTAAAATATTACACAAAAGACCGGACGGAGTCTGAATGGACCCCATTCTTAAATGTGTGAACTATGCTTATACGAAAAAAAAAAAACTGTACCAGAACACATTATTTTTATAGTATTGAACATAGAACTACAATGATAATTGCTATCATGATGCAAATAAAAAAGAAAATATTTGGAGGGAAATCCCACGCAAATTAGGACAAAATGGTAAGTAGGTTTCAAATAATACCACAAGTATTTAATCCGTCTAAAATGTATTAATTACACGAAATACATAGGAATTATTGTTGCCAGTCAAGTTTTCCAGCAGCAGATTGAAAAACATGTTTTAAAATTGTCCCTTACTGTGAATGTTGATAATTAATTTTTGTCGCGAAAAGCGAGAACATATCTTCATCGCCCCAAACTGAAACGTATTATGTATGAAAATGCCGCGACCTTTAGTCGGTACTAATTCGTAAATCTATGGGTTCCCAGATTACTACAACTTTATTAGAATACATTTTATATGACAAAAAGGAGTATGTATTAGGAGACCCCAACCTATAAAATTGAAGTTTAAATTTAATCTAACCGTTAAATGTTCTAGTAAACATAATTGCTTATCAATAAAATATATAAACTACAGATAGATGGAAGACTGCCGATTAAAAATTAAGATCTATAATGTAACGGGGTAAAAATGTAAAATGTAAATGTAAAAAATTGTGATCTGGGGTCAAAATACACCCCGATCAATCCGATGAACGTTAAGGAAGATACAAAACAGAGAAAACTTTGCCAAAATTGTTTACCTGGCTGTATAACCGGCGGATATTTCCGGTGTGGACTGTACATATTCGGCGTACTCGGCAGCGAGTGTGTCGCTGGTCGTTCGAGAGACATCCTGATGCCTGGCCGACGCCTGTGTAGCAGAGGAAGGAGTGTCGACTTCGTAATCTGAATCGTAACTGGAATCCTCGCCGGCCACTGCTCCCAAGCATCCCTCAACGCAGATTTCGTCTACATATTTCTGTAAAAAAAAAAACGATTATAAGTTTACAGTACTTATCACTCATCTTTAAATATATCGCTAAAATTTCATCAGTGCCTAAAACATAGCAACAACAGAATCTCACGAAATTCGTTTAAATTTTGTAAGCACATTTTAAATATGTATAAATAAAATATTGGTTTTCGTATCACATAATATTTAAAGTAGATATTTATGTTTCATTATATTTTGTGAATGTATATTTATGTATATTTGCCTTTTGGTTTTACTTGTTTTTAAATAGAGTTTTATATAGTCAACTCATTTTATATAGTCAATATTATTTTTCTATGAAAATATAGATATCCAATGCGAAAGGAAGAAACCCGCAAGATCTAGATTGAACATATTTATTCCCCTCCCTTTCTGATGGCTTTATATGTTATATAAAGGTCATCGTATATGCAAAAGGCAACACCTGTGGAGAGAATTCATTATAAAATTGCGGAAATAATTTGTATTTATAATCAACCGGTAGAATTGGTGGAAAATGCTGGGATTAAGGACTGCTAAATAATAATGTTCCTCAATATATAACATCCTCCAGAAAATATATATAGTATTTCTCGTTTTATTATACTCTAGTCGTCAGGCTGAATTTTGCTGAGGATGTCAATTTTGAGACCCCAAAAAATATAGAAAAAAGTTTATCACCCCTACCCCAGCTTCCCCTTAAAATGTTCCCTCGTAGGGTGAGAAAACGGTAAAAATTTAGTTATCAAGAATGACCTATAAGTAATTAGAATAATGATATTTCTCCACTGGTCGCAGTCAGCTGTTACATCTTCTGCCTCGGTATACTGTTTGTTGAGAAGATTTTTCCTAATGTCTGCCCATCGCTGTTGAGATCTGTCGAATTGGCGTTTATTCTTGGGCCCTCCTTGAACCACCAAACGCTCCATTTTGTAAGATATTCACTTGTAACAAAATACAGCGAATGAACTGTACGAAAATGTTCTAAAAAGTAAGCAGATAATATGTAAGCAAAATATGAATCACCAATTAGTGACGTATCGTACAATACATCATCGACTTATTTATACTTAATAATTTACAAAATACGGAAACGACACAACGTATTAAGAAAATAATTAAAGATGCAAAATATAACAAATTCACGGAAAGCTGCATTTTAAACTCATGATTCATTTACTATATTAAAACAACTGTCTTGAAAGAAAGTAAAAATAATAAATATACTTATTAAAAATATTATAAACATCGGCATGATAGAGATAATCGTTCTAAAACAATTTAATATTTTCATGAAAGCTTGGGTAAAATTTTTCAGATAGTTTCACGGATCCTGAGAGAAAGGGAAGAAATAAAATCAGATACTACACCGTACTCACGGAATTAATTATTAAGTAAAAGAGAAAGTAACTTATGATATGCATTTACTAGAAAGTAAAAAAGAAATACTTCTACAGGATGATTCTTTTACTCTTGAGAAACGATCGATAATTAAAACAATGTAAAAGTTATTGTGTGTTGGAAGGAATATCTAATAAAGAAGCATTGCAAAATTTGTCTATTGGTGCAATAATTTAGCGGTCTGGTGAACCCGGTTATCCCGAACAGTATGAGTGAAGGTTTAAACAAAATCGAGTTGTTCTTACTTATGAACTAGATGCAAATAGCCGATCTTCAAATCTTCGAACGAAAGATCTTAGGAATAATATTTGGTGCAATATGTGAAAATATTATCTGGAGAAGACGATGTAACTTTGAGATGTAATATATTTCATAAAAATTAGGCTAAGATAGACCTTCTAGAGCGAAAGAAAACTACTCTCACAGACGAATTCTATCATCAATTTGGGAAAAACTGCATGACTTGTACACTAAAATATAGGTCAAACTGGCAACAGATGTATGTTCCCAAAAACTTGATAGTGTGTAAATTTTTATGCTCCTTCTGATTTGTATGTTCCCTTAAGGCCTATCCTCGATAATCCTAACGGTAAAATTCAGTGAGCTATCTATTTCAAAAATATCTTTCTTTACGAAAACAAAATCCATTCACGAAGAATACTCTAAACGTCATCTGGTACTAAATTTTATATTTTTACCTACTTACAACCCCCTATTGTGAAGTCTTGGGTGTATACAATAAAGCGAGCGGGAGGTCTTCTATTCATTGCGATTATGGGGTAATTAGAATAATACGAGTAATATTATTTATTGAATAATTAATTCACAACTTAGCAAGGGTACATACAGGTAACAAATAATCGTCCTGTAAATGATTCATAACAATTAAATCGAAGACAAACTTTTATAAAATTTTATAACAAAATAATGTATAACAAGATATAAGTGTATTGGTTTTTTTATGTCATATTTTCTTTTGTTATTGTTTTTTTGCTGACAAATTGGCTTTTAACGTATATTACAGTTTGATGATAAATATTCTGAAATGGAAAATGTTGAGGTGTGGCGAATAAAAACATTCATGAAATTAAAATGAAGGGATTTACGTCTATTAGTGGTGCGATTTATAAAATTAGTAGCTCAAATCGCGGGAGGAATATATGCATTAGTTTTCAAATATTTATTATTTACGATATAATTTCTAAATTGAACCACTTTCACTTCTTTAGGTAACAATGTATCTGTCTTGACAACTAAATAGGTAATTAGACAAAATAATGATTATTATTAGTTTTAAAACAGGAGTTTAAAGAATTAGAAGAAGGTAGTCCGGGCCCAGTTAAACAATCAAGTTTATTCCAGTGGAAGCAATCAGGAGGATTATTTTTCGTTTTGGCTCAGCTGACATGCTCTCTCTAGCACTAGAACCCATGAAACTATGGTAAAAAGCATGCTTTTATTTACACGGTTGTGAAACGAGACGATTAACAGAGACATCGAAGAAAGATATGTCGCTGAAATGGATGCAATAAAGTATGAGAATAGAAGGTACAGTCATGGATGAATATATGAAGAGGCATATAATACAATGAAGGCATCTCAAATGGTACGGACATGTCCAATGAATGAAAGACAGTAGACTCCCGAAACAAGTACCTCTATGAACAACTACAGGAATCCAGAAGAGAGGACTACCGTAGAAAACACACGGATGGAAGGAATAAAAAACTCAATGAGCTCGAAAGTACTTAAAGAACAATGGAATAACCGAATTCAATGAAAAATGGACGTCGGAAGACGTTTTATAACGGATTATATCATATTACGAGTATAGGTACATTGTTATTATATCATATTATATATATTTATATAATATATTATATACACGATATTGAAGAAGGTTACAACATAGACAATCAACAAAATCTACATTGTCAACTACATATTGAAGACCCAACAATAATAGAATGGAATAATGAGAATAGAAGGTACAGTCATGGATGACATACAATGAAGGCATCTCAAATGGTACGGACATGTACAATGAATGAAAGACAGTAGACTCCCGAAACAAGTACCTCTATGAACACCTACCGTAATCCAGAAGAGAGGATTCCTTAGAAAACACGGATGGAAGGAATAAGAAACTTAATGAGCTCGAAAGAACTTAAAGAACAATGGAACAACCGAATTGAATGAAAAATAAACGTCGGAAGACATTTTATAAGGATTATATCATATTATAGGTACATTTTTTGGACTAAAAATAAATTTGAAGAAAACCAAGTTCATGGTATTTACAAAAGCACAAAGCATCAAAGTTAAGCTAGTACTAGATAATACAGAAATTGAACAAATATCTTTGTACAAATACCTTGGAGCATGGATCACAGAAGATACTGATTAGACAAAAGAAATAAGATGCCGCATTGGAATTGCACGGTCAACTTTTAATAGAATGAGAAAACTTTTTTGTAATCGAGATATCAATATATCGCTCCGGATAAGAATGCTTTGATGTTATATTTTCTTTACCCTTTTATATGGGATTCAAGCTTGGTCACTTAAAAAATCCAACATTAAAAACCTAGAAGCATTCGACATGTGGTGCTACCGACGTGTTTTGAAAATATCATGGATGGATCGCAAAACAACCGAACAAGTTCTCGAACAACTAGGAAAACAATGCGAAGTTTTAAATTCCATAAAAATCAGGAAATTAGAGTACTTGGGGCACATTATACATCACACATCAAGACGTAAAGTCTAGTGGTTACGCAATCTCCGTGAATGGTTTGGATGCAATTCAACTGAACTATTCAGGCGCATATCCAACAAAATGATAATTGCCAGAATGATTTCCAATCTCCGATAGGAGTGGAACTTGAAGAAGAAGAATAAGTACATTATTATTATATCATATATATATATATATATATATATATATATTATATATATATAATATATGATATACACGATATTGAAAGAGGTTACAACATAGACAATCAACAAAATCTACATCGACAACTACACAGTGAACACCCAACAATAATAGAAGTGTCAAATGCCGTCCTAAAACTCAAAGACAATAAAGCTACAGGAATCGATTAAATCTGTTGGAAAATATATAAAAAAAGGTGATGATCAACTTTTTGCAGTAACCCATAAACTAATAGTACTTATATGGCAAAATGAATTTGTACCAGAAGAGTGGCTAAATGAAATAATATACGTTGCATAAAAAGGACGATTAACTGGATTGTAAGAACTATAGAGGCATTACTCTGTTAGCATCTTGACCTGTTAGCACCCTGCTTGGCAGGGTCACATATCAGATCAATTTACGGTTGCAAAAGGCTTGAGACAGGGAGATCCTTTATCCACTACATTATTCAACTTAGTATTAGAAACTGTAATCAGAAAATGCAGCATGAGGATGAAAGAAACGATCATGAAAAATGAGCACCAGTGCTTGGCATTTGCTGATGATCTAAAGATTCTAGCAAAAACCGAGTAAGAATTAAGAAGAGTTGTAAAGAAAATCATCGAAGAAGCACAGAAATTTGGATTGGAACTAAAAGAAGGCAAAACTAAATATATGATCA